GGCTCTATTAAGGTTGGTAAAGTCGATGCATACCCTCCATTTGCCATTGTGTTTCTTAACCAATACTGGGTTGGAGACCCACCTCGGGTAGGTGGCCTCCCTGATGAAGCCATTTTGGATGAGCTTCTGAACCTCTTCCTTTAGGGCCTCATACCTCTCAGGGTTGAGGGCTATCCTTTTTTGTCTATGCGGGGCAACATTAGGATCAATTTTCAAGTGGTGGCAGCTGATCTTGGGGTCTATGCCCACCATGTCCTCATGCCTCCAAGCAAAGACGTCAAGGTTCTTGCCTAGGAAGTCCTTGATCTTTTCTATCAAAATGTTGGATAGGCCTCTGCCTACTTTCAACACCTTGGACGGATCTCGGGGGTCAGTTGAGAAGCTCTCAAGTTCCTCTACAGGGGATGCCTGAGGCTCATGTTCCATTATGCGGGGGTCGATCTCATCAACGATCAATACCTCCTGAATAAGCGGTGCGTCGATCATATCAACATCTTCCTGGTCAGTGGGAGCGTCACCTGGGATATTCGCCATGACCACATCAGCCATGATCACGTGGACGTCCCGGGGCTCTACCTTTTTAATGGAGCTCAGATAGCACTCTCTCGAACCTCTCTGGTCGCCTTTCACCGTTGCCACCCCATTCTCTGTTTGGAACTTCATGCATAGGTGGTGGATGGAGGTGACTGCTCCCAATTCCTTTAGGGCCGGTCTGCCCAAGACTCCGTGGTAAGCCGACCGGCTGTCAACTACGAGGAATTCCATGAAGTTCATCGTAGTTTGAGGAGATTCTCCCATCTCCACTGCCAGTGTTATCTTTCCTCTAGGAGTGATGCTATCTCCGGTAAATCCGTACAATGGAGTGGTGGTGGGCGTTAACTGATGGTCCAATATCATCTTGTCAAAGGCGGACCCGAATAGGATGTTGATGGAGCTGCCGTTGTCAACTAGCATTCGTTTGAGCCCATTTCGGGCTATGACAGCCCTAACCACCAGCGCATCGCAGTGGGGTAATGAACTCCTTCGGCGTCTTCTTGGGCGAAGACAATGGGTGGTACTTGGTTTCTTCTAGAGCTACTATCCACAATGTAACTCGTCAGAGGAGGGTGCTTTGCCTCCCTAGCATAATTTCTTTTGGCGTTTCGTGTTTCACTCCAACATAAGGGCCTCCAAATATGGTATCTATATCGTGGATTGGGGCCTCATCTTGAGCTTGCCTATTTCTTCGGTGTCTACGCCCTTCTCTGGGCCTCTCTGTGTCTTGCTCTCTTCGCCTTGGGGATACATCCCTTTGACGAGGAGCGGCCGCCTCACGCCCATGTCGGTTGTCGTGCCTGGGCGGGGGCCTGTTTGCCTGGGGCGAGTTGTGTCTTTCTATGGCGGGTTCCTGCCGGGAGCGGTGTGCATAGTCTCTGCAATCCGCGGTGTTGTGCCCATAGGACCTGTGGTGCAAACAGTATCTAGGGAGGTTCGGATTGGACCTATTTCTAGGTGCAAAACCTCGGCCTCGGCCTCTCCCTCTCCCTCTATGGGGTCCCTGCTGGGCCTCGGTCGGGTGTGCATCAGCAGTTGGGTTGACATCCTCATATGCTAAGGTTGGAACCGCGTTCAAAGTTGTGGTGGCCAGGGCTTGGCCGGAGTTCTCATTTCCGGCTCGGTTCATCTGGTAGTCCATGAGGTGGGAGGTCGGTCCCCTACCTCGCTATCTTTGAGGAGGTGGGAGGCCTCTGCTTGCCCTGTTCCTATGCTCAATCAAATCTTCATTGATTATCTCCCTTCTCATCATCTCTAGTAGGGCGTCATAGGTGGTTGGGTCTTGATTCTGCACATCCCTCCAGAATAGGGTGTTCATGTTTAAGCTTCCTCTCAATGTAGATAGTGCTTCTCTGTCGGTGACTTGTACACAGTAGGTCATCTCGTCTGTGAAGCGGGATAGGAAGCTTTTCAAGGACTCGCCATGCGCCTGTTTCATATCTTGAAGGCGCTAGATGGAGGCCTCTCCTTCCTTGCTTACTGCGAACCTCTTCAAGAAGGTAGTTTTGAACTCGGGCCAGCTTCGGATGCTCCCAGATGGTAGCCTATTATACCAGATTTCAGCTGCTCCACTGAGGGTTAAATGGAATGCTCTGCACTTTACGGCTGGGGTTGCGCCCCTCAGGCTCATGTGAGTTTTGTAAGCGTTGAGGTGCTTTTCTGGGTCACCTCTCTCATCATACTTTGGTATTTTTGGCATGACATAGTGGCTCAGGACCTGGGCATTTTTTAGTTCTCTTGAGAATGGCAGGTTCTCATCATCATCATCATCCAAGTCACAGGACCTCTTGCTGCTCATCAGAATCGTAGTCTTCGGCCTCGTACCTCGGTTGTTGGTGAGAGGGTCCAGGCCGGTTCCTAGCCTCTTCCTCCCTCCTTTGCGGCTTACTTCTAGGCGGGACAGCGCGGGGGGCATTTTCATGCCTTCTCTCAGGCTGCTGGGGCATCAGAGGTGGAGGCTGTGGCCTCGTCCGAGGCTGCTGAGCCTGCTGTTGACTGGGCCTCGGTTCTGCAGGGCTGATTCTGTCAAAAACACTTCCTGCTCTCCTTTGTCTTGGGTCTTGTTCATATGGAGGTGGGAAGTTATCATGGCTCATTTGGACCTCGGTGGGTCGGCCAGATGCATAGTTGGAGGATATGTCGACTCCCACTTCCCTCTCGAATGGGCTTTCACCTCGGCCATAGTCTGGCGAGGCAACCCTATGACTCTGGACCTCGTCCTCTTGTTGATAGTGCCCATAGGGAGCATATGGAGGAATGGGGAAGCCCCCTGGCCTTGCCTCATGGCCAAGTTTTGGTTGGCTATATCCCTCATGTTGGCTGCCATGGTAGCCATTTCTTTTGATAGTCGTGCTGTCACACGCATCCCACCTCTCCTTTGGTTGTGGTGGAGCCTCGGTCGAGCTGCTGGGGCAGTAGGCTAAGGAGGCACATTCGTACTTTCTCTTACCCTCCTTGGGGGAGTATCTTCGTTAGAACTCATTTTTCTTTTATCAAACTTAGATTTCTCTAAGTGATAGGGGTTCCTCCTGTTCTTTTTCAAGAACAAATCCTTTTTCAAGGGGAGTTGCCCAAATGTTTTTTAGTAAGCTTTTACCACAAGGTTGCTCGTGGTTATGGTATGGTTTCCCACAGACGGCGCCAATCTGTTGACCCCAAAAAGTGCGCCAACAGATGTCGGTCCCCCCCGCGCTTGCGTGGGCGAATGTCCAACACGCTAAGACACGTGAACGGTCTAAAACTAGCGGTTTAAAGGGGCGTGAGAGTAGCCCAACGACGCTGGACGTTGACGTTCGGAATCCGGCGGGTTGTTCGTAATTCGATTGTACAATAATTATCAATCGGTGCTCGTAAATGTATAAGTGAAAGTGTATAAACTCGATTTGTGTATTGCAAGTAACTGAGAGAGTTGAGTAAATGTAGTTTTTAGTATTGATTCTTGCATTAGCCTTTGACATTGCACAATGAGAGTATTTATAGTGATACATATGAAATGGGAGCCCTTGGATAAGTGGCACGTGGCCTCATCTCTTTAGTTTAAACATCTTTTCCTAGGTATGGGGCTTGACTTGCTAGCTTGCGGCGCATTTATTGCTTGTGCAGGGCCTCGATGCTAGTGACAAGACTTGACCTTTATGCTTATGACAAACGTTCCATCAATCATTCAAATAAGATCTGTGCAGGCGATCTCCTGGGAGAAGTGACCATGGAGGATGTTTCCTTGTGGTTAAGAGGCTCGTGCATCAACTTTGGGGCTTCGCCCATTTGACAAATACTTCCACTTGAGGACCTCAGCTACATCCAACAGGTTCCATGCCTCGGGTCATGGGCCTCGGCTTGAAGCGCTTCGGATATAACCCACCTCGGCAGGAATGCCACGTGGATCAGGATGAGTGGGCCATTGGCCCAGGTGGGTAGGACAGGTGTGACAACACGCAACAGCAAGGTTAAGTGAGCAACGACTAATTTTTTAAAGATCAATGAACAAGTAGTATTCTATGGTAAAATTCAGTGACCATTGATTAAAATTTTTCCACCAAAAGCGTGGGATGTGAAATCAAATTGAGATATAAAAGTTCGCGATGTTTTTCTGTACCCAAATTAAATGGAAGAATGGGATCTTAGTGCATTACTTTTAAAATCATTATTAAAAGTTGAAGTTTTTAAGGAATTGTATTATGTTATGCACGTGAAATAAATATGGTCACTCATAATTCGGGAAGTACAAACCAACTGTGCAATTTGTTTTAAATTTCTTTAAAGAGTTTTAAATTAGAATCATCTCTGCATCTTTTCTTCGTAAGCTATACTCATCATCTTAAAGAATGTGGAAACAAATTATATCCTATTAGCACATTTATTTATGCACCTTTGTGCTGTCTTCTGCGTGCATTATCTGAAGATTGGAATTTTACCATATTAAACTCTATCATTCCTTCCTTCCAATTTTCTTGGTATTGGGGTTTTAGATTTCCTCAAGTGACTTTGTTTGCTTTTTTTGCTTGAGGGAGGCTAATTGGGTTTAACACGTGAAAATTAATTATTCCATAGTTGAGAATTAGAACGTAGATCAAGAACAATATATTGACAACATTATCTGTTTTTCCGTGGATGTTGCTTGTGAAGCTGACCTCCTTACCGTATTAGAAACTGTATTATGTTTGTACCTCTTTTAAGTTTTTGGATCTTAGTATCTTGAAAGAGCTGAATTGGAGGTGTGCAAAAAGGAGGGTGGAAGGATAAAGTAACTTTGTTCTGATCGTTTAGAAAGAAAAAATGAAATGCATGGTAGATGGCTGTAAAGTGAAAGTCCCTTGCCCAATGGTTTTCTTCCTCCAAAATGGCAGAAAACTAGCCAGGCTAGGATTTGCAGTTGTAAACTTGGTTACCAGTTTTATATTTGAAATGTTACAGGTTTTGGGCGAAAACTTTGGTAATTAATAAACTAATTCTTGGTCTCTTTGCAGGATGTTGCTGGTATTAATTTGAATTTTGATATTCCCAAGTGGCTAAAAATCTTGCATTTTGATAGGCTGAACTCCTTTGCAGGTAAATTTTATATCTTCTTGTTCTGTTTTCTTACTATACAAGGCCATATTATAAGCTTATAAATGTTCAGAAATTGTCAGATTCTTTCATTTGTAGTCTACGTTTGTAGTTTGTCCATTCATGAGAAAGCTGCAAAGCCATTTTAGGAACTCTCTCATTCCTTGGGGAATTATTGTTGACATATAAATTTTGTATTTAAGGCAACTGTTTATTATACATTTCATTCCATGCTCTCGAAGTTGTTGGGGGCCATTATCCAGTGTGCCAAAATTTAGCAGAATTATCCTAATTAAATTGTTTATGTTTATTGAAGGCAAAATTCAAATAAATAAATTTGTCATCTCTAAGAGCTTAGCTTTTAGAGAAGACGATTCAACATATTATCTAATGCATGCAAAGGTACACTGTTCAAGTTTCATCTCCCCAAGTTATTAAATTGTGCATGTGTCATGCTTTTGATGGAAAAAGGAATCTAGCTAGCATATGATGGGGTCTTTAAGACAATTTAAATAAAAAAATTCTCCACAAGAGCTTGAGATTTTAGCTGAGGTGGTTCAACATTAGTTTGCTATGAGCATAAGAAGTCTATGCTATTGCTTCGTGTTGAAACTTCATATGGCACTTTAATTTTTATTTATTTATTTATTTTTGTTTTGTGCCATTATTATTATTATTAATTTTTTTTTTTTGGGGATAGGGAGCAATTTATTTATTTATATTTTATCTTCAAAGCAACCCCCCATACGATTCATCTTTTTATCAAATGTGTGACACATACATTTTTACAATTGGGTGTCAGAGAGATTTGAATTTAAAATATTTGTTTGTTTTCATACCATGTTGAACCACATCTTCTAAAAGCTTGAGATTTCTTTTAGAGAGGAGGGGGTAATTTATTTATATTTTATCTCCAACACTTCGTGATGGCTATAGTTCAAATATCGGATTTATGTGCAATTTTAACTTTGAAATTGGCTATTGAAGGAGTAATATAATTGTCGTTAAGCGTAAATTTGCAACCCATTGTCTTTGATTTTGGTGGGTGTATTTCTTTAGTAATGTCATCGTCTAATTGTCAATAGACTATTTATGGCTTGAGTAATATGACTATGATGTTGATTTCTTGATTGGAACCGAATCCAGAAAATTGGCTGCAAAAGTAACCATTAGAGAGGGATACTTGTGATTATTCGCCTGCTATCAGTTTTTTCCCTATAATAATCCATTGATTAAGAATGAATTATTTCATGATAGAAATTTATTTTTTTGTTTCTGCCTTTCATTTCCTTTGGCAGTTTACTCCAAATGAGGCTAGACGTAGAGCATAATTATTGGAAACTTTATCATGCAAAATGTTTACTATTGTAAATCTGAAGTTTTTAAAGGAATTTAAATTTATTTAATATTTTTTTCATGTGGATTTTGTGAGGCTATATATATTTAGATGCAATCAGTAAGAGAAGCAATTCTATAACAACCCCAAAAATTTATAAGTCGCTGCCAAAAGTTTAAATTAAAATTTTTATTTGCAAATCCTTTTGACTACTTACGAATGAATAATAATTATCACTAAATAAAATTTTGTTTCCACTAATATAAGATAACACTTAACGGAAATCCAACAATTTAATTCAAACCTTTAAATAAAAGCGTAATTTAAAAAAGCCATGTAACAAATAAACTTATACAATAATTCAATTAAAAATAAATGTCTATGGCAAAAAAATTAAAAGAAATAAAGTTCCGTACCAAATTCTTTAGATTTTCGTTCAGCGAAATGAGGCACAACCACTCAATTGAATTGCCACGCTTCGACACGATCCGTTCTAACTTGTGAGGTTTAAGAAAAAATGGTGAATACATGGAAATACTCATTAGGACATAAAACTTAATGGTGCAATCCCGAGTAAAAATTTTAAAACATGTATTCGAAAATCATATCGTCTCATATCTTTAGATATCAGTAAGAGCTTATATCATATCATTTGTACCGGAATGGCCATATCATTCATATCGTATCATATCTTTAGCTTGCATGAGTACAATAATTCATCAACATGAAAAAATTTGAATGAGATAGAATACAATGTACCTCGATATCCTACCTTGTAAACTTGCTTTAATTTTTGGAAGACATAACAACAAAATCACATTCCCTTATTTTTTTCTAGCCTGTACTGTGTTTACCGTGAATGTATATAGTGTAGAAAAGTTGTACTTTAATAACTTATAGAAAGTGGGGATTACTGCCCTAATCCCCACTTTCTATAGGTTTCTATTATAACATGATTACTCAATCAATATTTAAGTATTTGACCCCATTTAAAAATTGAATTCAATATATTTATCATTTTAATCTCCCAACTTTTCAAATTTAAAATAAATAAATTCTAGTATGTGAAAATTTTCTGGACTTCACAAATTCGATGCTCCAATTTTTATTTATTTATTTATTTTGTGCATCAAGTTGGCAGAGGCTTGACTGTTTGGTTGGTGATGCATGTTTTTGACATTATATCATAGGCTTCCACTTAGCTAGCACCAAAAGAAATAACATCTGAAAAAATATTTATTTCAGAAAAATTTAATCTTATTGTGTTCTTACGTCATGCAGAAAGCAAAATACCCATGCATGGTGTTGTTTATATGGCTTATCTGGGTTTTGGTATATGATAAATTGATAATATATGTGAAAAGCGAAGGTTCAGAGGTTGACATTTGTAAATTTATGGTAGACTATCATATTCCTAGCTTATCTTGTAAGAGACTTTTCCCATTACACTATTGACCATTCAGCTGACACCATGAATTAAGTTTCCATCTGATATCAGTGTATCAATTTATTTACCTTATTGTCTAATGTAGTTTTTCAATTCAAGTTGGTCAGCATTTTAATTTTTTGAAATGCTTACTTTAATGAATTTTGTTGACTATACCAAGGAAACAGGTACTCATATATTGAGTGACTAGTATGGGCTACCTTTTTATTCTGTGGATATAGAGATAAGAGTATATGAAGATGTTTGATATCAGTGTGAAAGCTTTGTGATTGGAATCTTGTCATTTTTATTTGTAATCTTAGATTGTGATTGATGTTAATGTCACAGTGCAGTGGCTTGAAAAGAGAAGCAAGGCATTTGAGCCGACTTACCTTTATACGATGGAGAAGGTATGCTTTACTTTATTAGTTCACTCCTTCAGGTGGCTCCTTTTTTCCATTAGACTCATAGTAGTACTGATGCATCTCTTGGTTTTCAACTATTCATGATGCTGTAAATTATTTCTTGTTAGGGTTATTTCTTATTGCCTGAAGAGGCCAAATCAAGGCATAGCATTCGTACAATTAATATTAGCATCTCGGCCCGACATACTTGCTTTGGAAACAGGTCATTATGCGCTTATCTCTCTCTCCCCCTTCTCTTTTCTCACTTTTGATGACTGTGATGAGCCTATGCATAAAAATATCCTCGTTGGTTCTATTTCATCAAGGAAAGAGTGTTCTAGGGTCTTTAGAAGGCTGCACTAAGAATCAATAATTACCGAAGTCTTCACCAGAAGACTGCAAATTGTATCGGCATTTTTTTCGTCTTCATACTGTAATGTTATAAAATTTCTATTGCTTAGAAAGTAACAATGAAGTTAAGACAAAAATATTAGAAAGTGAAAGTTATTTATATATCAGATTCAATTGTTCATATTCTGTCGTAGATTGCATTTCTACAATTCGGACAAGGCTGCTACTATTATTATCCATTTCATTCGTCGATGTTCATGTAGTACTTATAAGAGATGGATATCAATTAGCCGTCCATACCCCTTTTATATAGCTCATTCAAAGTGCTATTTCAATTAGAATTTGGTTGTATTTTTTCAAATTTCTATAGTTTGACCTACTTTATAAAAGTGAATCTTATATGTACTATTTTGGTTTCATAAGTAAAAAAATTACTTATTTGTATATTTCCAATTTTTTTTGTATGTAAAATATCATTTCAAAAAATAGGGATGTCAGGCTGTGTTCTGCAATTTTTTCCTTTTTTTGACTCACTAGATTACATAACCTGTAATTTGTGAAAATATGGTATGTAAACGTAAATGTGTTCTAATACAGATTGCATTGTGTGAATCTCCACGGAATTGGTTGCCTGTTTAACATCTCAGTGTCAATCTGATGTTGCTATGTGTCAGATGTCACATTTGTCGTGTTTTTACTTAAACATCATTTCAAGATAGATATGATACCAAATACGATACCGTAACATAGTTTTGTACTTAAACTAGTTATGGCAATTATCACATAATGAATTCAACATTTAGAATCTCTAAACATCATAAAACTTCAACTGGAGAACTGTGGAAAAAAGTTTCTTCATTATCATGGACCTGTGACATTTATTACCCACCCACCACTCACATTCTCTAGTGACTTGCTGCACTGATAATATTCTGAGCCATAATTAACCTCATGAAATGTACTAAGTTGAACCCTCTTTCACCACTCTCCCAGCAAAACAAAGAGGTGGAAGGAAATGATCCTTTTGGCTCAGGAAAAAAAGTGGAAATATCTAGTACATGGTAACAGAAAAACATCAAGAACAAGTCTGCCACACAAAATTGAGTGGAAGTGTGCTCTTGAAGTAATGAAAACTAACTTAAGTAAAATCTTCTCTTTGTAGGTGGCAGCAGCTGCTGATAAACAGACTTGTTGGATATGATACTATTCTGATGAATAGTTTGTTGAATTCTCCGGGTCAAGGTATTAATATTTCCATGGTGGCAAATGCCTGACTTTTAGAAATATAGAACCTTCTGGGTTAAATATATTCTGTTTCAAAACTGGGGACATTCCCACGTGCCAATTGCATTTTTGTTTGATAATTGCTTATCCCTTGAGGACAACTGCTAGTAGTAAAATAACCCATAACCCTTGTCATGTACTTTCTGTCCTATGCAGTATTGTTTTTCTTTTGTATACTTCTTTAATGTGCAAGTGTTAGTGAAATAGCCTAATTATGTGTTCCTACTAGAATCATAACACAAAGCATTAAACAAGTCTGCACAGTTCATTATTCAGAGAGCTCAATAAAATATGGCAGGAGGCTGGGTCCTAAGCTAATATTCTGGTGCTTCTGATCATTCTGACAATTTATATGCATCATCCATGCAGGTTATCTTTATAACTACCAAACAAAGGAGTTCTACAATCTAACATATGCTCATGAGCAACCTGAAAGTTATGCAAAATTTGGAGGTTGGTGACATTTTGTGCAATTTTGTTCTATGCTTCATGCACAACAAAACCATTATCTTCCACTTCCCTGGTAGTTTCACAGTTCGTTAATCTAAGTGTGAAGCAGCATCTTCATCGATAATTTCATTGCTCAAAGTTGATAACTTGTATGTATATTCAAGAATTTATCTGGGATATATGCTTTTAAGAAATCTCCCTTCGTATTAAATGGAAGAATACTGTTTATCAATAGAGGCTTTTAGGTTCTCTGCTACGGCTCAAAAGTGCACTACTTCTGGAATTGGATATAGCTATCAATATTGGGGGAGGTTGCTTAGATACTTAATAGAATTATAACAGCAAGAGATGGTGAATTTTTTTCTATAGTACTATGCAGAATGGCGTCAGTTTGTTACATTCAGCTGATAGAAACCAGAAAAGGATATTAGCTAAAATCATGAAGCCCAGATGAAATTCGTAGTGCCACCAATTAGTAGAATCAGGACTTTCGTGATCATAGCTAGATGATCATGAACCCCTAATAGCAGGAAAAATGAGCGAAGGGATGAGGGGGCAGAGGGAAGACTTTGGATTGGGATAGAAGGTTGAGGAGGTGGAGGTGGAAAGGTAGTTGGGGAAGACGGAAAGGATGACTGCTGAAGGTGGAATTCATGACTTGAGTGGAAAAGGGTTGGAGATGGTTGACCGAGGCAGGGGACAGTGGATTTGGATATGAAGGGGATGGGTGGTTGGTTTTTTATCTTGTCCAATATTTACATAAATAAAACGTGGGATTGGTGTGTCCCAGATTTTCCTGCAGGTGCATTCTGTAGGAATGAGCTTTGTCCAGGCTTCAGCATAGTAGACAAGTAGTTAGAAAGGAATAGCTGGGATCACTTATTCATTCTGGCCTTATTGCCTTTCTCTGTACCAGTCGTGACCTAAGAACTATTGAGCTTACTAATTCCAAGACAAATTAGAATATGCTGACTAGGAATTAAAGTATTGAGGACTTATGATGGCTAGAATTACAAGTCTGCTTAAAATACTAATAACTCGTACAATTATGTTTCCATTTCATAAAAGTAGTTTTTCGCGGTGGTGTAGGCCTGTTTGTCATGACTTGAGAAGTCTAGAGGAGTTTTTGAGGCCCAAAAGTTGATTTTGGACCTCGTTTCGTTAATTTTATAAAAGTGCTTCTTTTAGGTAGAAGAGATTTTAGAGGAAGCTGGTTCAATGTAGCTTCTTCCAAAAGCTCTTCCGGAAGAGAGCTCTTAAAGAAACTGGTTTTCAAGCACGAATTAAGGTGGTTACTCATAAAACTCTTATATAAAAGGCAAAAGCAAATCGGGCCCTAATTGTTGAGCGATTGCTCAAGACAATGGTAGCATTTGGGAACTCCTTGAATCAGTTCTACAAGGTAGTAGTACTGACTGGCTAACCCAAGGCAAGGTTTAGCAAAGGGAGACAGGCTAAAATCTGAACCCTAGTCGTTCAAATTTCTGCTGTATCTGGGATTAATGCCAACTAACAGGGGATTCTGATCGGCAGGGAACCTGGATTGACATGCAAGATAACTTTAAAAAATGATAACAATAGACAAAAATGTAAGGAAATGTTTTAGACAAGAAAATTGATGTTAAAGCCAGATCAATTTTGTACACAAATGAATCTGTAGTTCTGGATCTGAACTGAATCTGAGCCAGTTTTTAGATTTTCGAAATTGACCCACTTATTTTTGGCCTTAGTTGCTTCTCTGGTGAATGCAACATTGACACTTCTGCAACCTGGTTTAGTAAAGATAGTTTTTGCGACATAACCAAACATAAATTGTAAGCTTATTTCAGCTGCTTTACGAATATGCTTGGTAATACATTTACTGTCTCAGTTTGCATTGTTTGTTATTTGTGACCATAAACTTTCTGATATTGAATTAGCATGACAATGAATGTCATATGGGATTAACACGATTGATTTTCTTGGTTTGCTATTTCTTGCAGACTATCTTGTGACCAAGTGTGGTGTGCTGATGATGTCACTTTTTGTTTTCTTCACCACCACAATGTCAGTTTCATTTACATTGAGAGAGACGCAAACTCGTATGCTAAAGTTTACAGGTTTGAACGTTGAATTGTTTATTTAAATTCTCTGCTATTCAACTCTGAAGAAGGAAAGTTTATGAAAGCACCAAAAAATGTCTACAGATGTTATGTTTTATTTTCAGGCCATGTGATTTGCCTGTACTTATCATACCTCACCTGAAAGAGGCACTAAACATAAATAAACTTGACTACCATACTCACCCCCACTGCCCAAACAAATAACAAACCTACTCTCATCCACTCACAAACAAAGAGTCATAAAATTATGTTGTTTCAGCAGTAGGCTTAAGCAAAAGTAAGTATTTCTAATTTTGAAGTCTAATTGTTATTGTTAGGTGATTCATTAGGAATTCTGTTAGGTGATTCATTAGGAATTCTAGGCTTATTTATCATATCTTGATTGCCACCTTCCTTTCTCATTTTTTTTTTTTTTTTTTGCAGTGCAGCTCCAGCATCATGCTCGACATCGGCTTCCAACATTTCAATTGATCTTCGTGCATGTAATCGAGTCCCTTGTATTCGTACCGGTTAGATGCAGCCTCTTTCTTTTCCCCCTTTATATACTTTGCTCTCTTATTTTTCTGTATTCTTATTGCCTTCTCTGATATTTAATGATTGTTGTGTCCCCAGATTATGATTGGCATCCTGTTTTTCCTCTTCGAGTTTTATGATGATCAGTTATTGGCTTTCATGGTTTTGATTCTTGTCTGGCTATGTGAATTGTTCACACTGATCAGGTTGGTCTCCCACTGCGAACACACGCTTACAGTAGAAACCTAAAGTAAAATATTAACTTGTTAAGATATTCTATAAAATACAGAAATTGATCTATTTCCCATCATATTCGATATAGATGTATATGATGGAGCTCTCACTTTGGTTAGACAGGTGTTGCTGTATATTTCAAGATCTGCCCTATTCTTTTTTTGGGCTAAAATATTCATTATTGGCCTGGAGAAATTTACAGTGATTTGTGACCAAACTTTAATTGCGATTAAACCTTAAAGCAATTATAGCTTGATCTAAAATCAGATGACATAAAGTTATAAGCAATGAAAGATAAAGTCTAAAACTTCATAATGGTCTACTAAATCTGAATGCTACCAGTACAAAATAATTTGAACAGATGTTTATAGTTCTAAAAGAATAATCAATAGAACAATCTCTGGACTCTTTCCTTTCTCTTTGCAGTTTAGGTGAGCTAAATGCTTCCTATAAATGATTCTATGTTCTTGCAACACTTTTAGTATTCCATGAGTGAGGTGGTAAGAATTCATTCTGGCCAGCTTGGAATGTGTTTTCAAGTTTTATATTTTGTACCCCTCATCACTCACCTAACCTTTACCTGGTAGGGTTCCTTCACTCTCCCCTCTGTATGGATTTAGATGTTGAGGGAAAGGATATGGAAGCAAGGATATAAATAGCTCAGGAAAATCCAGCCAACCTCGATCTCCTATTATATCTCGTATGAGATGTCAAAGATGGGTTTCTTGTCTAACACATAACCAGGGAGCCCCCTGAAAGGTTTTTAAAACCCTAGAAAACATGGGTTTCTAAAGAGATAAAAGCATGGTCCTATAATGGGAATCTTGCCTTCACGATCTCTTACTATTTCTCCTATGAGATGTCAAAGATGGGCTTCTTGTCTAACACATAACCAGGGAGCCTTCTGAAAGGTTCTTAAAACCCTAGAAAACAGGGAGAGATAAAAGCCTCCTATAATGGATATCTTATCTTCCCTTCCCTTCCCTTCCCTTGCTTTGTTCATGTTCATGTTCTTGCTTTTCCTTTTCTGATACTATTGTGCTTGTTTTGTTTGCAGTGTCCGGACACCAATATCTATGAAGTTCTTTCCTCGCTTCTTTCTTCTCTACTTTCTGGTGTTTCACATCTATTTTTTTTCGTATACTCATGGTAAGGATGTAGCAGATTTTAAGTTCATGAAGTTTGTCTCCTATGGTTTATTTCTTCCTTTGATGGGCCCAAATTACTCTTTTGTAGGTTTCTCTTATTTAGCTCTCTCAACTACTGCTGCATTTATGCAGCACCTTATACTCTATTTTTGGAACCGTTTTGAGGTACTATATTTGTGATACATATTTTCATGTAAATATTGCTTTTCATGTTCTCTGCCTTTACAAATTAGAGTTCATGTCAACAAATATGTATGCTTTTGCTGAAGTCAACTAGTTGAGAAGGTTTTATTGAGTTGTATATGCTACATTCTTGGCAGTGTCACTACTTGCTAGGAGTACATCCTGTTAAAACTGTAGAAGCATGGACATGGACATAGAAAACAGATTCGACTTGAAGGGGCATATGGCACAGCAATCTTGAGGAAGTAGGATGTGAACCTTTGTGGAATTGTTGATAATTAAATGAGTGAGAGGGGTTAATGTCTCTGATACAAATAAATTTCATATGTATGAGAATGAAAGCATAAATATAATCTGTATTTCTGTGTGTTTTAATTCATAATACAAGCCTCAATATATGGTACAATGAAGAAAAAGAAAAAAGAAAAAAAATTTCCTAAATTAGGAGAAGAAAATTAATCCTAAAATAACAATCTTAATTATAGCAAGTCTAAATAAGGTAATGTGTAAATATGACAATTCATGAAATCTTCAAGATTTATCACACTCCCCCTTAAGTTGGATGGTAAATGTTGACCATTTCCAACTTGCATATGAAATTGTCAAAACTTTGTCTGGCCAATCCCTTGGTGAATATATCTGCGATTTGCTCCTTAGTAGGGACATAAGTCATGCAGATAACTCCATCTTCAACCTTTTCCTTAAATGAAGTGTTTGTCCGCTTCTCTGTGCTTGGTCCTATCATGCTGAACCGGATTGAGAGAAATGTTGATGGTTGCCTTGTTATCACAATAGAACTTGATGGGAAGTTCTAGTATGATTTGCAGTTCTTTCAAGAGTTTCTTTAACCACAATCCTTCGCATATTCCTTGAGCAACTGCTCTGAACTGTGCTTCAGCACTGCTTCTTGCCACTACATTTTGTTTTTTACTCTTCCACATCACCAAGTTTCCCCATACAAATGTACAATAACCTGTAATGGATCTTCTATCATCTGTTGAGCCTGGTTAGTCTGCATCTGTGAATATTTCCACTTTCTTTCTCTCATTCTTCTTAAAAAATAGTCCTTTCCCTGATGTGCCTTTGAGATATCTTAGAATTCTGTATACTGGTTCCATATGGCTTTCCTTTGGGCTATGCATATGTTGGCTTACCGCACTTACCACAAAGACAATATCAGGTCTAGTATGAGATAAGTAGATCAGTTTTTCAACAAGTTGTTGGTATCTGTCTTTTTCAACTGGGTTTCCACTGTCTTTTTCAACTGGGTTTCCACTGTCTTCTGTTTTCTTTCCTGCCTCTATAGGTGTATCACTTGGCTTATATCCAAGCATGTCAATTTCTATTAGGAGGTCATGAATATATTTCTGTTGTGAAACACTGATTCCTCCTTTTGATTTTGCTACTTCCATTCCTAAGTATCGCATTTGTTCCAGGTCTTTCACTTCAAATTCACTTGCTAGACTTTTCTTAAATCTTTCTATCTCCCGTGTATTGTGTCCTGTGATGATTATATTATCGACGTTTACTATCAAGATGGTCTTAGTCCCGTTTTCCAATTGTCGAAAGAACATGGTGTGATCTGATTGTCCTTGCTGGTAACCTTGGTCCTTAAATACTTTTGCAAATTTGTCAAACCATGCTCTAGGTGACTGCTTTAGACCATACAAAGATTTCTTGAGTTTACATACCCTATTTTTCTTATTACCATTCTCAAACCCCGGTGGTAATGTCATGAAGACTTCCTCTTCTAGTCCCCATTAAGGAATGCATTTTTGATATCCAATTATTGGAGAGGCCAGTCTAAGTTAGCTGCCAAAGAGAGCAAGACTCTGATGGTATTCAATTTTGCCATCGGTGCAAATGTCTCAATGTAGTAAATGCCATATATTTGTGTGTATCCTTTTGCCACCAAACGAGCTTTATATCGTTTTATTGTTCCATCAGCTTTATACTTCACATTAAAGACTCATTTGCAACCTACTGGTTTCTTTCCTCTCGACAAATCCATCACCTCCCAAGTTTCATTTTTCTCCTGTGCTTTCATTTCCTCCATCACTGCTCTTCTCCAGTTAGTTGTATTCAAAGCTTCCTGAATATTCTTTGGAATCACTGTATTGTCAAGATTAGATGTAAAAGTACGAAAACTTGTAGAGAGAGCATTATAGGATATGAACTTTGAAATAGGGTGAAGAATACATGACCGAGTTTGTTTTCTGAGTGCAATAGGTATATTGATATTTGGGATTTCTGACTCATAGGATTCTGGAGCTATCATCGGTTCTGATTCTTTTGGTGCTTCGGGTGTGAGGTCCTTCTTGTACTTTGACTTTGGCCTCTGTGAGTAAACCAACATCTCCCAATCATTTTGTTTTTTCTATGTCTCCCCCTGAGTTTATGTTTTCGTCTATATATGGTACTTTAGAGTTAGGTTGTGTAGCAGGGTCGACATTTGGGGTAGGAAAGATAGAGATGTCAGAGTAAAAAAATCTATGTTCATTCAAACTCTTCCCTGAAGAGAGTGTTTTTGGAAGTAGGGTGTCATTTCAAAGAATGTAACGTCAAGGCTAACAAATGTTTTCTTGGTGGATGGATCATAACATTTGTACCCCTTTTGAGTAGGTGAGTATCCACACATTTGATTGCTCGAGGATCAAGTTTACTTCGACGGTTGGGATGAATATGGACAAATAAAGTACAACCAAAAACGTTGAGAGGTATGTTTGAGTTTAGACGAGAATTTGGAAATGAACTCTGAAGTCTTTGGATAGGTAATTCAAAGGAAAGGGGACGACTGGGCATTCGATTGATTTGGTGGGTTGCTATCAGAATAGCATCTCCCTAGAACATTTTTGGCATATTGGTAGTGAATATCAGAGCACGCGCTACTCCTAGAAGATGTCTATTCTTTCGTTCAGCAATCTTGAGGAAGTAGGATGTGACCCTTTGTGGAATTGTTGACAACTAAATGAGTGAGAGGGGTTAATGTCTGTGATACAAATAAATTTCATATGTATGAGAATGAAAGCACAATTATAATCTGTATTTTTGTGTGTTTTAATTCATAATACAAGCCTCAATATATAGTACAATGAAGAAAGAAAAAAGGAAAAAAAATTTCCTAAATTAGGAAAGGAAATTAATAACAATCTTAATTACATCAAGTCTAAATAAGGTAATGTGGAAATATGGTAATTCATGAAATCTTCAAGATTTCTCACTCTCCCCCTCAAGTTGGATGGTAAATGTTGACCATTTTCAACTTGCATATGAAATTGTCAAAACTTTGTTTGGCCAATTCCTTGGTTAATATATCTGCGATTTGCTCCTTAGTAGGGACATAAGTCATGCAGATAACTCCATCTTCAACCTTTTCCTTAATGAAGTGTCTGTCCACTTCTTCGTGCTTGGTCCTATCATGTTGAACCGGATTGAGAGAAATGTTGATGGCTGCCTTGTTATCACAATAGAGCTTGATGGGAAGTTCTATTATTATTTGCAGTTCTTTTAAGAGTTTCTTTAATCACAATCTTTCACATATTCCTTGAGCAACTGTTCTGAACTCTGTTTCAGCACTGCTTCTTGCCACTACATTTTGTTTTTTAGTCTTCCACGTCACCAAGTTTCCTTATACAAATGTACAATAACCTGCAGTGGATCTTCTATCATCTGTTGAGCCTGGTTAGGTTGCATCTGTGAATATTTCCACTTTCTTCCTCTCATTCTTCTTAAAAAATAGTCCTTTCCCTGATGTGCCTTTGAGATATCTTAGAATTTTGTATACTAGTCCCATATGGCTTTTCTTCGGGCTATGTATATGTTGGCTTACCACACTTACTGCAAATGCAATGTCAGGTCTAGTATGAGATAAGTAGATTAGTTTTTCAACAAGTTGTTGGTATCTGTCTTTTTCAACTGGGTTTCCACTGTCTCCTGTTTTCTTTCCTGCCTCCATAGGTGTATGACTTGGCTTACATCCAAGCACACCATTTTCTATTAGGAGGCTATGAATATATTTCTGTTGTGAAACACTGATTCCCCCTTTTGATCTTGCTACTTCCATTCCTAAGATGTATCGCATTTGTTCCAGGTCTTTCACTTCAAATTCACTTGCTAGACATTTCTTAAATCTTTCTATCTCCCATGTATTGTCTCCAGTAATGATTATATTATCGACGTATACTATCAAGATGGTCTTAGTCCCGTTTTCCAATTGTCAAAAGAACATGGTGTGATCTGATTGCCCTTGCTGGTAACCTTGGTCCTTAAACACTTGCAAATTTGTCAAACTATGTTCTAGGTGACTGCTTTAGACCATACAAAGATTTCTTGAGTTTACGTACCCTATTTTTCTCATTACCGTTCTCAAACCCCAGTGGTAATGTCATGAATATTTCCTCTTCTAGTCCCCATTAAGGAATGCATTTTTTATATCCAATTATTGGAGAGGCCAGTCTAAGTTAGCTGCCAAAGAGAGCAAGACTCTGATGGTATTCAATTTTGCCACCGACGCAAATGTCTCGGTGTAGTCAATGCCATATATTTTTGTGTGTCCTTTTGCCACCAAACGAGCTTTATATCGTTCTATTGATCCATCAGCTTTATTCTTCACATTAAAGACTCATTTGCAACCTACTGGTTTCTTCCCTCTCGGCAAATCCATCACCTCCCAAGTTTCATTTTTCTCCCGTTCTTTCATTTCCTCCATCACCGCTCTTCTCCAGTTCGGTGTATTCAAAGCTTCTTGAATATTATTTGGAATCACTATATTGTCAAGATTAGATGTAAAAATATGAAAACTTCTAGAGAGAGCATTATAGGATATGAACTTTGAAATAGGGTGAAGAATACATGACTGAGTTTGTTTTTTGAGTGCAATAAGTAGATTGATATTTGGGATTTCTAACTCATAGGATTATGAAGCTATCATCGGTTCTGATTTTTTTGGTGCTTCGGGTGTGAGGTCCTCCTTGTACTTTGACTTTGGCCTCCGTGAGTAAACCAACATCTCCCTGTCATTTTGTTTTTCTACTTCTCCCCTGAGTTTATGTTTTCCTCTATATATGGCACTTTAGAGTTAGGTTGTGTAGCAGGGTCAACATTTGGGGAAGGAAAGATAGAGATGTCTGAGTAAAAAAATCTATGTTCATTCAAACTCTTCCCTGAAGAGAGTGTTTTTGGAAGTAGGGTGTCATTTCAAAGAATGTAACGTCAAGGCTAACAAATGTTTTCTTGGTGGATGGATCATAACATTTGTACCCCTTTTGAGTAGGTGAGTATCCACACATTTGATTGCTCGAGGATCAAGTTTACTTCGACGATTGGGATGAATATGGACAAATAAAGTACAACCAAAAACGTTGAGAGGTATGTTTGAGTTTAGACGAGATTTGGAAATGAACTCGAAAGTCTTTGGATAGGTAATTCAAAGGAAAGGGGACGACTGGGCATTTGATTGATTAGGTGGGTTGCTGTCAGAATAGCATCTCCCTAGAACATTTTTGGCATATTGGTAGTGAATATCAGAGCACCCGCTACTTGTAGAAGATGTCTATTCTTTCGTTCAGCAATCCCATTTTGTTGGGGGTGTCGACACAAGAACTTTGGTGAATTATACCACATTTTTGTAGATGGTCCCATGGATTTGTATTGAAGTATTCTGTTCCATTGTCAGTTTGCAAAATTTGAATTTTTGTTTGAAATTGTGTTTGAATCATTTGATTGAAGTTGATGAATACAAATTGCACATCAGATTTTTCCTTTAGTAGGTAAACCCAACAAACCCTGGTTTCATCTAGGAACGTGACAAACCATTTTGTGTGAGTTCGGTTAGGAACACGGGAGGGACCCCATAAGTAGTTATGAATTATTGTGAATGGACTTGATGGTTTATTAGTGCATTTTGGGAATTTAGTGCATCGGTGCTTTGCAAGTTCACATACTTCACATTGGAAATCAACAGATGTTTTATTCAGAAAAATGGAAGGGAATACATGTTTTAAATACTGCAAATTAGGGTGGCTAGCACATTCTATAGTGCCATAATGGAATATTATTTTCTCTAGAGACTAACATAGAATCATGAACTTCAGTTTGACAATGTTTACCCACATTAGTGTCGTTCAAGTAGTAGAGTCCCTTGCGCTCTTTAGCACTGCCAATCGTCTTACTCGATAATAGATCCTGAAATACACAATGAGAGGGAGAAAATTTAGCAGAACAATTAGAATTTCTTGTAATTTAATTGGCTGACAAAAGATTACATGACAGGTTTGGAACATGGAGGATGGATTCTAGAGTAGTAAATTTAGATATATGAATACTTCCTTTTCATGTGACAGATGAAAGGGATCCTTTCGCAATCTTAACTTTGATATTACCTGCACAGGATGAATATGAGGAGAATAAATGATAATCATCCATCATATGATCAGAAGCACCTGAATGAATAATCCAGCGGTGTTTTATGATTTGATAAGACATTTAATGCTTTCATTAAACTACCTTTGTGGGCGAGTGAGCTCGAAGGACTGTATGTGGAAAACTGGTCTGATGACTTAAGGTTAGAGAAGATTTGATAAGAGTTGTTCTAATTGCTCGGGATTAAATGCTTCATTTTTTTCTTCCATGGATTTTCTAGTTTGATCAACCAAAACTTTATATCCAGGATTTTTAATATTCTGTCTTGGTTTCCAGTCGACAGGTTTGCCATATAAATCCCATTAAGTGTCTGCTTTATGTCCTGGTTTACGGCAATGTTTGCACCAAGGTCGTCCCTTTTGTTGTTTTAGGCCCGATCCATGTGTTATGCCTTTTGATAATAAACTAGTAAGTTCAATGTTTTTAGTAGGCCCTAGCTGAGATAACATGGGCGGTCTAAATTGTGAAGACCCAGGCCTAACGTTAGAGATCCCATTCTGTCCCATTTGAGAAGACCCAGTATTCGGCCCAACACCATTTGGCTCAACACTAAAAGACCCAGCTTGTCCAAATTGAAGCAGTCCACCATTTAGCCCGAATTGATGAGGCGACGTAGCTCTGCCCCCTTCACCCAAAAGTGCTGACATCTCCAAGTCTCCGACCCCGGTTGCTCCATCCTTCATCATTACTTCCTGTCGGCTTTCCTTCCTTTTCATTTCGGCAAACACCTCCCGTATGGAAGGCAGTGGCTTTCGGCCCAAGATTCGTCCTCGAACATCATCTAAGCTCCGATTGAGGCCGGCCAAGAATTCAAAGACTCGTTCGTTTTCAAGCCGTTTTTTATATTTGATGTAATCTCCAGGACATTCCCACACTTCCTCATAACTGAGATCCAGTTTGACAGGGAAGACATTTCCAAGTAATAATCGGTGACCTCTCTCTCCCCTTGTTTGGTATGCCATAATCTCGTTTTAATCTCGAAGATTTAGGAGGAATTTTCTGAGTTGGAGTACATCTCTTTAACGGCGTCCCAGACGTCCTTCGATGTTGGAAGGAAAAGTTACGTTTTTCCTATGGATGGCAGCATCGAGTTTACCAACCAAGCCGTGACCATGGAGTTTTCAGATTGCCATTTGGGTAGATAAGCAGCGTCAGTTGGTTTCTTTGTTGCTCCAGTCAGGTAGCCCAATTTTCCCTTACCGTCAATTATCAATTTAATTGACTGAGCCCATTGCCTATAGTTTCTTCCATTCAATTTTTCTACTGTGAGTTGAAAGGAGAAGTTCTCTACGCCAGTCGATCCCATTGTATGCGTGGTTTCAACCTCAATGTGCGAGAACTCTGACGTCGTAGAACTTCGACTGTTGACGAGGACTTCCGTCATTGATTTGCTAGGCTTTAGAGAGCCTGTTCTAGTACCATGAAAGCAGAAATATAATTTGTATTTCTGTGTGTTTTCATTCATAATACAAGCCTCAATATATAGTACAATGAAGAAAAGGACAAAAAGGAAAAAAATCTCCTAAATTAGGAGAAGAAAATTAATCCTAAAATAACAATCTTAATTACAGCAAGTCTAAATAAGGTAATGTGGAAATATGGTAATTCATGGAATCTTCGAGATTTCTCACAAATAATTACATGGGTCAGGATAATATCAAACAACCATACTTGAGTAAATTATTAAATTGGTATCAGTTACATAAATAAAAAATGATAGGTTTTTATCATAATATGATAGAAAAATTTTGACTTCCATGCTTGATTTGTATAGTTGCGTCTTGTTCAAATCTAATATTATTGATGAAATATATTGCTATTTTAGTAGTATGAGACATTTATGAGAAAGTCTGAAGATCGTTATTGTAGACATTTGGCCTTCTTGAGGGCGTCCATGATGCTTAGAAATGCACATTCAGATTTCAATACAAACAATGTGAAACTATTGTACGTCTTCTGTTGTGTTTTCTTACAATGTCCTTTACATGCACAGTACTACTAGGAGATTGAAATGTAGCAACCCTACCCCATTTTTGTAATTTTCATAGCTTTTATATCGCGCCCCATTTTTATTTTTCATAGCTCATATCTTTATGGGTAATCTATAAAAATAGGAAGTTAATCCCTAATTTGAATGATGTGAAGATAAGTCCCTATTTTGTCGGTAACCTTCTTAAGTATTTTTCTAGTTATGGATTCACTAGTTATATATTTAAACCTATCAAAGTATTTGTTCTCAACTTTTATTATGTTTGTATATCCTCTTATTAATGAAGACAATCCAAACATACACGGGAATAATGTTATTTTCATAAAGAAGCCTACACTTGTGACACTTCACTCTAGATTTGAGCTGTGCCTGTTCTGCTAAGTGGAGCAAACCGGATACATTTCACAGATATTTATGTGGAAAGGGGAAAAAAGAATGATGTGGAATTGCTGAGAATGCCATTACTTTTTAGTTTACATAATAGAGATAGAGATAGAGATATGATACATTCCATGCATAATATGGGTACATACATGTATATATAGATGGATTGTACATCACTTGTATGCCTGCTATCATCTCAGGTTCCAGCTCTGCAAAGGTTTATGCAAAATCGACGGTCACATTTTCAGCAACATCCGGATTTTCACATTACCTCCTCAACTATTCTCGCCTCTACGTTACACATTACAAGATTAAATACAAGAAACCCTGGGCCTCTTAACACAGATTTGGCTTCTGGTCCTGTACTTCGAACTGGAACTAATACAGGAATGCCAAGAAATGGTGCAACTGCATTCTCTGGTCCTCAAGAACAACCTAGTAACGACAATCCAGAAAGATTAAGGAATCCTCTTGAAATTGAGGGACAGGCTGTCCTCAATCAGCCGGAGGGTGGAGGGAACCCCGGGGCTATGAACTCATTTAGTTCCCTGTTACTATGGATCCTGGGGGGAGCTTCTTCAGAAAGTCTCAACTCCTTTCTGTCAATATTTAGAGACTTCAGAGAGCATGGACAAGTTTTCACGGAACCTCCAAGGCAAGAAAATCGTACAGAGCCGCATAATGAATGATGCAGCAAGATGTCTGAGAGAATTGACTTGTGTATCCCGTGATTTTTGAGAATACAGCAGAGAGGTTACAAAGCTATGTAGCTTTTGAAGACACGAGGTTTTAATCTTCACAGGTAATTGTACTTGTATACCCTTTATAATACAAAAGGTGATTCAGCTGAAAAGAGGGAACGAGGATTCAGCTCTTGACCAGAAGAGTAATTCGCTATTGTTATGCCGCTGTACAGTAGATGTGACTGGTTAATTTTGAGTAAAGAGTGATCTCATGTAGCGTGTAAATCAGTTGAATTGAAATAGAGAATGCTTCCTGTTAGTTAACATTTGTCATCAACTGCACATCAATCTTGATAGTTCAAATCCCTTCTTTTTTTCCCCAGCTGTTCTTGCAGTAGTCATTTGATTAATCTCACTTGGAATTTGAACACTAAATTTTTATTTATTATTTTTTATTTTTTCCATGTTTAGTTTACTGTATTTTGGAGAGAAATGACTTCTAAAGTATGTAGTCGGGGAGATTTATTATTTTTCTTTTCCCATTTTTTGTTGAACTATTAATTCCGTGGATGCATATTTGCAAGCTAAGTCAGGTACGTAGGCTTCGAGTCTCTGATGGTGAGGGAGGAAGAAATTGACATTCGCTATATGTTCGTTTAAATTGTTGGGATTAATGTTGTCTATTTGCATAGTACTCTGGAATATGGAGTGCTCGGTACTCCTTGTCACTATTTGATTCACGTATGCATTAAATAGTGGGATCTACTTTTTGGTATTTGTGTTTGTTTAGGAGACATTATTTGAAGTGAAAATGAATTTTTTGAAGAATGTGTGATTATACATTACGAAAAAATTGTGTCTTCGTGCACAATTATTTTATATGAAAAATGTGGTTTAAATAGAGTTTTAGAAAAATAATTTTCAAATAAGTTGTGCCAAATAAACACTTAATTTGGTTTTTTTTTCCTCAATTGATCTCCAGCGATTTAGCCAAGTATACTTGCGTATAGTTATTAAATTCAAGGTAAATTCCGCTAGGGCTCTCCAACTTTTTATGAGTGTCGCAGTCATATCACTTACCTTTCATGACACCTATGTCCCGAACTTTTAAACAGTGTGCACATGGTACTTCCATTGATGGAAAAATGTCAATTTAGAAGCTTTATTTATTGTAGCACTTGTATTCCTAACTTTGAGTGACGGATACAAATATTTTGAGTTAGGCAAACTTGTAAAAAATGTTTTTAAAAATATAAAAGATTACTATGTCTTATTATAATAGTTCTCAACGCGTCCTCATAATTTATTTTATTATAACATTTCATAATTTCATCATTTTCAATATTATCAAATACATCATTCCCAATATATACAATCAAACTATCACTCAACCACTTATCTCTGATTCGATTGCGCAGACAATTAAGAACACAAGTCATTGTAGAAAATGTTCTCTCGACTATTGCAGTAGACATGGTAAGAATTAAAGTTAATGTTATAAGCTTGTAGACTAATGGATAAACTTTATGTTTATTTTTCGCAACCTACTTCTATGCATGATTACTAAGCCCCCCTATAATTCTCTAAAATCTTTACCGATGTGCATGTCAAGTTGATCATTAAGCTTCGAGGTATCTACTGTGTCAAAATCTATCCAATAATACTCAAATAAATGAATCAATTTTGTTCTTGTCAAAAGCAGCAAATGAATTATAAGAACACAAATAGATAACTCAAAGGAGCTAGTCACTATTTACCTAATAAAAATGTTCATTCAACTCTTGAAATTGCATATTAAAGATGGCATAAAAATTTCCACGCGAAAGTGATGCAAATTTGTCACTGTGTCATGTCATGAACGACTTAGAGTTATAAACGTATCATCCATATGTCGAACATTGATCTCGTGAGCTTTAAAAAAAAGAAAAAAAAAAAAAAAAAATCCCATCCATCATCCATCATGGTTCGGAGTTGTACTTTACATAATTTCACCAATCTCATGGCATTGACAATATCTTGATATTTCCTTTATGAGGCTTTCAATAATTCATTTGAAATTCTTAAGATCTTTTTTCATGAGATGTAGATTATATGCAAATTCAAATTTTAAAATTGACTTCAATGAAATACATGCATTACCTCTTGTTCTGGAACTTGTAGTATCTCTTAGAATTTGGCTTAAAATTGAAGGACAACTGGTTAAGTGTTAAAACCAAAAATATGGAAAAAGTGACTTTCGTGTCAACTTCGACCAAATATTCGAACTTGATCCAACAGTCAAATTTTAAATGTAAATAGATTAACTTGTTCTACTTGTCAAGCTTATCGTGGTATATTTGGAAGCTTAAAATTAGTTTCGAATGAATGAGAAATTGCAATCCAAATTTAGAAACAAATAGAGAAAAATTGGCCTAGATTTTTGCCCAACTCCGTTGCTCGTCTATCGCTCGAGCGACAGGTGGCCGAAAAGTTTCTGTAAATATTTTGACACTAACGCTCGAGCGAGAGGTTAGCAACAGGCTAGCGACAACAAGTGATACTTCTATTTGTAAGATTACGAGATTTGACACGCAGCACTTCACCCACAACTATCCATCTTCTATGAATACGATCCTTTGGACGTCTATTATTCATCCCCTATCAGTTTTGCATTGAGCATTGCATAAATCTCTTGCAAAAACTCTCCAAAAATCAATCCATATCTTTTCTTTGTAGAGAGGATGAATTCCGTTCGAGTTGGTTGGAACTTGTGGTTTGAAGTGCTTCTACCACGAGTTGAATTCATTGTATCTTGGGAAAACAAATGCCATGAATAGTGAGCACCGTTGTGGGACAATTTTGTCTTAAGGAAAGAGTGATATTTCACTTGCCTCACATCTCTTCTTCTTCTTCTTCATTTCCTGTTTTCTTTGTGATTTATATACCATAAGTTCTTACAATATATTATTGTGTTAATTACGCTTCCGCGAATTAAATTTCGATATTGCATTTATCACATAACAACCCTTATCTGTAACGCCACGACCCACATGGATCAAAACGTTACAAGATTTTAATTTACGGCTAAAGTACAGTAAATCTTGTAACGTTTCGATCTATGCAAGTCGTGGCGTTACATTATCACCATATATATTTTGGCTCAACAATCTTAAGATAAAATTCTGCCTGTGGTTGTTTTGTGGATTGCAACCCATAACAACCCATGATCTTCATCTTCAAAATAGGTTTTACATGCTATTCCCTCTTTATTGTTGCTGTGTTGAACTTCTGTTTGTATAATGGATATGAATACTATGGAGACGACTTCAAGTCAAACAACTAATGGTATGAATAATGTGGTTTCGCTTTGGTTATACCACTTCAAAATACTACTTCACCTTTAGAATAGGTTATTCTATTCTCTTTGTTTTTGCGTTGAACTTTTGTTTGCATAACAGAAATGAATACAATTGAGACTACTTCAAGTCAAACAATCAATGGTACGAATAATATGGTTCGGCCTTTGGCTGTATCACTTCAAAATACTACGATCCCGCATGGTGCAAAATCGAAAAAGTTCAAAGGCATATACTTCAAGGGATGGCAACATAATATGTTGTTCTATCTTACCACTCTAAACTTGGCAAAGTTTCTAAAAGAGACTGCACCAATGGTACAAGAAAGAAAACATAATCGTGAATCATTATTGCATTGGATGCATGGAAGTATTCGGTCTTCATGTGCAAAAAACTATATTCTAAATGGATTGGACAATACACTATATGGACTGTATAGATCGAAGGACCCAGTCATGGATTTATGGGATTCGTTGGAAAAGAAGTACAATGCTATGGATCCTGGAACAAAAAAGTTCATGTCGACAAGTTTTTGGATTACAAGATGGTAGACTCCAAAATAGTGATAGGTCAAGTGCAAGAACCTCAAGTTCTATTACACGACATATATGCTGAAAAGATGGAATTTAGTGAATCTTTCCAAGTTGCAGCTATTATTAAGAAACTCCCTCTTATGTGGAGAGATTTCAAAAAATATCTCAAGCACAAACATAAAGAGGTGAATTTGGAGGAACTTATAGTTCGTTTTGGGATTCAATAAGACAATAGGAAAATTGAGAGAAGATCTATTGTCCAACTTGGAGAAAACTTTGTTAAACAGGTTCGAAGGTTGTTAACAAGAAGCATAAGATCTTCGATGATACACCTAGAAGATGCAACTCCAAGAAAGCCAAGAAGTTCAAAGGTAACTTTTACAATTGTGGAAAGGTCGAACATCATTCAAGCGAATGTCAAAAGTCGAAGAAGAACATACAAGCAAACATGATTGAAAGAGACATCCTGTCTGAAGGGATACAAGAAATGAATCTATTTGCAGTTGTTTCTAAATGTAACAACGTTGGAAATTCAAGAAAATGGTAGGTTGATATTGGTGCTACTTGTCACGTATGTATAGATAAAGCTATGTTCTTTAACTACCAAGAATTGATACAACTCTTCATGGGAAACTCGACAAATTCCAAAATTGAAGGATGAGGGAAAGTTACTTTGAAGATGACTTCTGATAAAGAATTTGTCCTCAACCATGTCCTACATGTGCCGAACATTTACAAGAATCTTGTATCTGAGTCTCTACTTAGCAAAAATGGCTTTAACCTTGTATTTGTATCTGATAAATTTGTACTTACTAAGAATAAGGCATATGTAAGAAAAGGATATATGTGTAATGGATTATTCAAAATGAACGTTCTTACAATTGTACGAAGACAAAGCATTATGAATAAAAATTCTAATTCCGTTTACAAGCTTGAGTTGTCTTGTTTATGGCATAGTCGATTTGGACATGTAAATTACAAATCTTTGCACAAACTTATGAATCAAAGTTTAATATCGACGTTTAAAATTGATCCTAATCATAAGAGTGAAGTATATGTTGAAGCCAAGTTGGCAAAAACACTGTTTACAAAGTGTGATATGAAATCTGTTCAAACTAAAGATGGTAAGAAATACTTTATAACTTTCATTGATGATTGTATAAAGTGTTGCTATGTCTTTCTACTACGAAGTAAAGACGAGGCCTTGGATACATTTAAATGTTATAATGCGAAAGTTGACACTCAACTCGGTAACCAAATAAAGAATATTCGTAATAATAGAGGACGTGAATACGTGGTACAATTTGTAGAATTCTGTACTGAACATGAAATTATTCATTAAACAACAACACCATACTCTCCTGAATCAAATGGTACCCAAAAATTGGACTTTTAAAGAGATGATGAATGTGATGTTGTTAAGTTCGGGTTTACCTCACAATTTGTGGGGAAAGCTATTTTAACGACAAATAGTATTCTTAACAAGATAAACTCCATATGAATTATGGAAAATG